TTAGTGTAAATTATACTATAAAAGAGGTCTTATATTTAAAATCAGAAGAGTAGTGCATGTGTCTCAGAGCCTTCAACAAATCAAAGACATTTGGGTGCGGGTGCCTATCTGAATCTGTTCAGTGTCTTGAAGATGGGTCTCCATCTAGTTAGTATAAAACAAAAGGCCCTATCGCATCGCTCGTTCCAGTCTTAATTCATAAACATGACTAAAAATGAATACAGAGCTATGCACTCCTTTTAATACTAGCATCTTTTTTGTATTTGTTTTTTAAGGGAAAATCAATTACAATTCAAAAGCCCAAGATGCAAATTTTTTTTGCTAAGCCCAAGATGCAAATTACCTGAATGAGAAACAAACGTGTCTGTATAGAGCCCAGTAGTGTGTGGCCCAAAGAAAGATAAGGCCGCTTGAAAGGTTCATTTGAATAACATCGAGGGCGTTTTTTGATTTTGTTGAATAAGAACTTACTTTGATGGAAAATACAAGTCAAAAACAAGAAAAGTCTAGAAGCTAACCAGCAGAGTACCCTAGAAAAAGCCTATCCTATCCTTCCTCACCACGACCGACTCTTGCAGAAGACGTGGTGGCTAAGAATATACAAATTTCCTACAAGATCATGAGCAAATTTCGCCGAGCGATACATTGAGGGCTTTCATTGAATTAATGAAAACATTTGTGCCAAAAAAAAATCAATAAAAACATTGATTTTTCTACATTCCTCGTCCCATCAAAATTTAAGACCTTCTACAATACCAAGCTCAACAATAGTGTTACTAACAAATGTTACTTGATAATTCATAAAGTTCTGAATACAGATCTGGTTATTTGATGTAAGGATCTTATTAATAAGTGAGATATAAGTATTTCGTATGCACTCTTTGAATTTGGACGCATGCTTTAATCTTGATAAGCTCTTGATATCTAACTTGTTTAAATTTTTTTGTATAAAAGAAACAGTAATGTTACTTATGGAGTGAGGGTGATATGGAAGCTTTTATGGTTTTTTTTTTTTGTTTTAATAAAATCTCTTTATTCAGCTGCCATTTTTGCCTCGAATAATGCAACCACAGGTGGCAGATCCTCTATGATTAACAGGGCCATCAGCATCTAATCTAACCAACCAAATTAGAGTGGCATCCTCTAAAGATGATGCCCGCTTTATTTTTTGCATTTCATACAATCCAATCCTATAAGAGCTAAAAGCAAACTGTTCCTCCCATCCTAAATATAATACTCCTCCGGTCTTAATTATAAGACCCAATTAACTTATTTGAGGAGATTAAGGAAGTAAGTTAAGTTGGTTATTTATAATAAATAAGTGTTGTCATTCCTAAAATATCCTTGCTAATTAAGTATATTGGCTAAAACTATCATTATTAGAAGGATTATCTTGGGAAAAAATGCATAAATATAAGAGACAAGATGGATTGGGTCTTATAATTAGGACCAAATAAAAGTTAAATGGGGTCTTATAATAAGGACCGGAGGAGTATTTATTTCATAATATAATTTGTACTAAAAAAGAAGTCTTATATTTATGATCAAAAGAATATTTAGTTTGAACTTTGAAGGCCTTGATTAATTGTTTGTATTGTTTTTTTTTTATACAAACGTTAGTGAACATTGTGATGTTGGATCTGATCTTTGATGATCACGGTACAGGAGGCTTTGTTCGGAATAAAGTATTGGGCTTGACCCATTCTGTAATGAGGCTGACCAATGGTGCCAAAATTGGGCTCAAGCCCAAAGTGTCTCAGCCATTAGCAAATAATGATACTCCATCTTTGTTAAAGACTTTGATTTGATTCTTAGTATAAGATCTTATTTATTATTTTATATCACATCAATTATCTTGTTTCAAAGTATTCCTATTTTTCAGGCGTTACATAGTATTCCTACTTAATACAATTTTTTTTAAAATTTATATGAATGAATGTCAATAGTCCAACAAATAAGGGGGTTGTTTCAGCAACCAATTTAAAATATGAAAAGTTAAAGATTACATTTTTTTTTTTGCCAAAACAAACAATTACAATTAATTATTAACCAATATACATTTAATATTTCATAAATTGCACAAAAATGAGATAACATTTAAGGTTTTTATTTGGAAAAAATTGTTAATACTGAATTACTAGCAAGAAGAAAATCTCTAATATCATGTCCAACAATACACACATGTGTGGCACGCGCATAAGATAATCAATAAGCGAAGTTGCAAATGGATTTATTGCATACATATCGAATTCTCGGGCTCTCAAGTCTCACCTCAACTTTAATATTTATTTTATTTTATTTAGTTGAGTTTCTATATGTGAATTTATTCTAAATTTAAATAATCCTGGACAGCTTACCATATTTACTATTTTCATCCTCTTATCAAGTTTAATTTCCTAAGGAAAATGAGTGAGTGATGTGAAGGGTTATCTTGTTTCCTTGATATTTGTATATCTGAAAATCTTCTCAAAGTGTGAAAACTGGTATGTCATTTATTGAGTTCATTATGGCTTTCCCACATATCCAGTCTGTCTTCTCTTTATTAAAAATCACTACTATAAATGATATTCATCTTATTAATGTTTATAATATTTGAAATATTTTTAAGTATTCAATTGATATAACAAGGTTTTTGTATTGAGAAAATCATTAGGAAAGATATAAGAAATTTACATATATTTAATTTTTGGAAAAATTAATCTCCATGTCCTTCCAATTTCACCCGAATTTTAATAAGATCCTCATTTTTTTTTTCTTTTTGTCATGTCCGTATAATTTTATTTGTTTTTAATCAAGTTCACGTAATTCTTTTATCAGGTCTTTTTTCTATCTGGAGAAGTCTACTACCCTACTGTACACTAATTCTTTTTTGGGAATATATGATAATCCTTAATTGGTGTCCTATCGTTTGAGTGCGGTTTTACCCTGCGATTAATAACCTTATATTATTAAATCGAATTTAATTATTCACCAAAGTCAATATCTCTGACAAACATAAAAGTGCACTTAATTCTATTAAGATTTTGCTAAAGTCAAAATCTGAATTATAATGCCAAGCAGTATAAACCGAGGAGGTACATATTTCACTCATAAATGGAGATTGGGATGTTATAACTTCCTAATCTTGGACTAAATAATAAAGAGTAACAAATCATTAAAAAGGGACAGTAAATTAATCGGATTTATTGCAATAAACCAAATATTTAGCAGTATAAATACCAAAATGTTAATCACCAATTCCAACAGCGGTAAAATATTTTGCTTTCTTTTTTCTCCTTCAAACATGAAGAGAAAGTCCAGTTCAGGTCGCCAAAAGATCCCAATTGAGAAAATACCAAAGAAAAGCCATCTTCAAGTCACCTTCTCAAAGCGTCGTTCTGGACTTTTCAAGAAAGCCAGTGAGCTTTGCACGCTCTGTGGTGTTGAAATCGCCATCATCGTCTTCTCTCCGGCCGACAAGGCCTTCTCCTTCGGCCATCCGGAAGTGGAATCCATCGTCGATCGATATATCAGTCGAAACCCCACGTCGGAATCCGGCCCTCACCCGCTGGTGGAGGCTCACCGGAATGCAAACGTCCGGGAGCTCAACATGCAGCTGACACAGCTTCTAGGGCAACTGGAAATGGAGAGGAAGCGAGGAGAAGAACTGGACCAGGTGAGGAAGGCGAGGCAGAGACAGTTCTGGTGGGAAAACCCTATTGAAGAATTAGGGTTTAATGAGTTGCAGCAAGTGAGGGTTTCAATGGAGGAACTGAAGAAGGAGTTAGGGAAAATGGCGAGCAAGATGTTAATGGAGCATAACAGTTTGGCTACTGATTCATCGGTGATTGTTGGAGGAGGACCCGGTGGACTTGGACGTTATATTAATAATGATGTCTTCGAGAATAAACATGTTGTTATGAACAACATTAATGCTGCTTCGTCCAGTAATATTCTTCCTCCCCAACATGCCTATAACAATCTCAATTGTAGGCATGGATATCTATGATTTTTTTTCCAATTTAATTGTGTGTTCCTTTTTTAGTCTTGGTTTTGTTTGGAAAAATATAATAATTCTCTCTTTGGTTTCAATCAGATTGTTCGTGTGGAAAAACTCTCTCTCTCTCTCCCTCTCTCTCTCTCTATATATACATATATAGTTTTATATGTGATTTTGTTGATTTGCTGCTCTTGGAATAAGATGTAAATTAACTTCATCGTATATTCTTGAAACAATTTGCTTGTTCTCATTGCCACTTTCTGTTAGGGTTAATAACACATTTGTTAATTATATTATTATACCACCTCCTATTTTTAATACTACCTTCGGTACTTAATAGTATAAGATTAGTTGACTGATTTGAGTAGATTAAAAAAATTAATTTAATTATTTATAATAAATATGTGTTGTCTTCTCTAAAATACAATTACTAATTAAGTGTCATTTGATAAAACATTTAACATGTGCAACTACTACAAAGATTACTTTGGAAAAAATAGATAAATATGAGAAATAAAATAAATTGGGATCTAATATTTAATTAAGACTAAATTGAAAGTTAAACTAACTTTTATAATAAGGACTATAGTAGTATAAAAATTATTTAGTTAATTTGGATTTATAAGCTAAATAAATTAGTTCAAAAAAAATGATAAATACAAGACAAGATAAAATTTGTAGGACTGGTGTTTGTTTATGGTACTCTCATTGAAGTCAATTTAATCTTACACTTTTTGTTATTTGGTTCGAATGATAATTAGTACACTGCCATAATATCCTGTATCTACACAATAATCACCTCGTTAAATTCCACACTTTTCTGTTCAATAACATTTCCTTGCAACCCTCATTTCAACTAGCAGGAACTTAAAATTTTATTCTGGCTTCCATCCAACTATCATTCCATGTGTATGGTTTAACAAATATATATTAATAAATAACAATATCGATTTTCAAACAAATAATAATATTTGATCATCTAATCCAAGCATATGAAATCAAATGATGAGTTAAGAGCCAATTAAAAATTAATAGCTATGAAAATCAACATCAAAATGGAGACAAAGTAACTCAGAGATCCATCAAAAGATCCCGAATTTTGTGTCCCAGAATCTGCTTCAATGGGAATAGGGGCTGTGAATGTAGGAGGACCCTGGTTTTCTGCAAAAGGAGAAGGAGGAGACGAAGATGAAGGAGAAGGAGCCATACATGAAGAAGAAGCCTCTGTGCTATTATTACTAGTACATGAGTTTCTTGCTGATACATCCACTTCTGACAAGACCCCATCAATCCCATGGCATCGAATGGAAGACCCAGAAACACAAATATTGGGACTAATGATCTTCACATTGTTCAGAACAAAATTACGCCTTCCATTGTTGGTGATTCTGAGCATATAGTTCGGTAACGAACTGGGAACAGTGGTTCCTGTGGGGAATTTCTCTAGGGTTTCGAGCAGCAAAGGTGAAGGGATCGAATGATGAAGCAAGAAATCTGAAACAGATCGTTCGGGCATCGCCATCTTTGCAAGCATCTGATCCTTGGGCATCAAGAAAGTAACATTGGCCTCAAGTCTTGGGTCTGGTGGGCACATATTGATAAGCATCACAAATGTGAAGTAATTAGCTCGCTGCATCTCTTCAATGGCTGCAACTAGGTCGTTAGTTCTTACTGGTGTAGCTGATGGAAGAAGAAGGAGAAGAAGCGTCATCCACAGAGATTTTACCATTAAGATTGAATTGTTATTGCTCGCCATTTCTGAACTTTTTTGCCTCTTGATTGTTTACTGATAGATTGATGTCTTCTTTTGATTTTATCTTGATATGGGTACTCCAAATTCTGAGAAATAACGAAGCAATAATTTTTCTTCTATCTAAATGCAAAGATGATGCTTCACCAACTCTTGTGCACGTCTCTTGGATGACTGGTTTTCTTTAATCAATATAGTTTAAATCAAGTTTCACAAATCTTGGGTTTTGAAGCCAGTAAAAACTCAAAGGATTTTATAAAAAAGTAAAAGAGTCTAAGGATTGATTAAAAAATAGAGAAAAGTGTAAGTATTGGGAGATTAATTTTTCCACATTATAATAATGATGCATCCATGTCGAGATAAAGATTCTATATAACTTGCTAATCTCGGAGTAATAAATAAGATTGAATCAAACATTAAATTCCAGGAAATGCCATAGTAGACCAGCTTGACAACATGATTGATTAATTAATTTATTAATTACACATGTCTTTAGTCCAGCTAGCAATCACAAATTAGTAACCCAAGAAAAGGATTATTCGTTTTTATTGTCTCTTTAATTTATGCTTTTTTTAATTTGAACCACGTGATGATGAACAAGACAGTTAATTGGCACTGCTGTTTTGTCACGGAAATGCTACGTTAAAACGATTATATTTTAAAATCCTCCCAATTAATGACCGTTTGAAGAATTAAAATATTATTTTTTGACTAATAAATATTATTATTTCCTAATTTCGTTTGTTCTCCTTTTTGTTTTTGGAGGGGGTATTGGTGAGGGGCTCTCTTGGGTTGGTTGAATCGTTTCTATATATTCCTTGGCCCATTAAGACAGCCCACTACCTCAACCCACGAGGTTGGGCCCATGAGGCCCAAATAAGTCTCTTTTTTTTTGGGTACAAAATCAGCGTCTCTTTGAGGCTAATGCCATTATATATACTTTAACGATTGTATGGGATTCAATTCCCCCAGAGCCTAGTAGTCTTTTATTTTTAGGGCTCTCTAGCCCTCTTTTTTTCTCCATTAATAACCTCACGTTTCGTGGCCATGTGGGAGTAGTGATCTAAAGGGGCTGAAACCAGGGAGAAAAAAACATGGTGCCAGTATTATTGTGATCATGAATTAATAAATTTTCTTCATTATAAGTTTTCTTCTGTTAATTAAAATACAAGGAGATAAAACATTTTCTGATGTTTTCTTTATTTAATTTTTTCATTTTCTCAATTTTTCTTCCATTTTCTCCCCTTCCTTAAAAAAGGATTGTTCTTCATTTTTTCAATAGTAATATTATCTTCAATCCTAAATATAAAAGATAAAAAATTTATATTATCTTAAATTTTAAATCCACTTTGTTTCCTAAATTTATATATATATTTTAAAGTACTCTCATTGATTGTATATAGTAAAAGGATTTTAATCAATGAATAGTTACAATACACATGATTAAAAAGGATACTTTAAAAAAATTAATATACATTTTTTATAAATAACTTTTTAATTTTTACCATCAGTTGTTAAAATAATTAACTAAACTAATTTTTTTTAACATTCACAAATTAAATATTCAGCTTTAATATTGAGAAAGAAAAGGAGTAATAATGAAAAGTGATGCCTTGGACAAGCAAAGACAGGAAGATGGGTTAACAAAATGTTTGGAGAGCACATTTTTGGAGCTCTCGTGATGGAGAAGGAAGAATGGGTAGCTTTTTGGTTAAAAGAAAAACATTTAAAATAAAATCCAAAAAAAAATTTAAAAAAAACGTTGTACGTACAACTACTAGGAATCATGCTGCTGTACAGGTTGCGGCAAGGTTGTGGATCTCGTGGTGCCAAAGGACGGGGAACTGGAAGTGCATTTGGAAATGAGCTGGATGAGGAAGGAGACTGCGAAGCAGAAGCCACGTGTGTGTCTCTGACATTATTAACCCTTCATTTGCACTCATTTAGGAAGAGGCTGCCCTTAATCATGGTTTTTGGCTTCTCTAAGGAATTTCACTTAATCATTATACACATATACTCCCTTTGCTTCACAATATAAGAAGTCTTTCCAAAAAAAATTTTGGTCCAAAATATAATAGATTAAAATATAGTTAATAATAACTTTTTACTTTTATCCTTTGTTATAAGGAGCTGAAAAAGTTTTAGAAGTATGCGAGAGGAAAGAAATTTTCTAATCACATTCTTTAATAAAATTAAAATAGGTAACTTTTATTCATTTAAAATACGTTTAATGAGTAAACTAACATTTATTTTTATTTGTGAGAAAGCTTAACTAACATCTAATAGACTAATACTACCTCCGGTCTTTAATATAAGACTTTGTTTGACTTTTATTTTGGTCTTAAATATTGTCTCTCATATTTATTCATTTTTTCCAAGATAATCCTTTTAATAATGGTAATTCTAACTAATACATTTGATTAGTAAGGATATTTTAGGAAAGAGAATACCTATTTATTACAAATAATTAATTTAACCTTTTTTTAATCTCTTCAAATTAGTCAACTGGTTTTTGTAATTAGGACCGAAGGTAGTATTATAAATTGGAGGGAATATACCAAATCTCAATAGGCTCTCATCACACGGTTAAAAAACCCATTGAGTATAGATGTCTTGATGTCAGGGATCATGGCTTTGAAGGAATATAATGGCTTTGCTTTGGTCATGATTATTCATGAGTGTTTGTGGGCAATGTGAAAAATCAGTATTCACATTTCCCAGATTCAATTATAATCATGCTGGTTTTCTTCATAATTAATAATGCCTCCCCCCTCGTTCAAGAGGAACTAGATTGATGATGAAGACCGCCACTTTGCAGGATTATGTGGCCGGCTATAATGCAATTCCCTCCAAGTTAATTTTGAACCTACCATCTACTATGTACCCTTATGTCCTTTCGAATCACGGGAATATTAATTAACACTACTTCTATTCCTTCCTATAAAAGTTAGCAATAAGTTCAATTTGTTCCCTCAATTTTCTTTGCCTTTAATATTTATCCATTTCTCCACCGGGTAATCCTTATGATCATTGTACATATCAAGGAGTTTTTACTAAGAAATATTTTCAATATATATGATTAATAAATAATATTTTAGGAAAGACAACATTCATTTATTATAAATAACTAACTTAAACTAATCTTCTTAATATCCACAGCTCTTATATTAAAAACAGGAGCTAATATTATATACACACACTCTATTATACCATTAATATAAGCACTAAATAATTAATTTATAAATATTAAGTTGAGTTAATTACTTATAATATATTCTAAAAAAATTATTTATAATAAGTGTTTGTTGATTTTTTTAAAATAATCATTTTTAATCAAGTGTACTAAAATTGTTTTTAATAGAAATACCCTAAAATATGCATGCAATTCATGGGGCACTTTAAAAAAATTATAAATTTAAAATACAAAGTAGACTGAAATAGAACTAAAATAAACCTTTTGCTTAACTCTTATAGTCTTATGCTTACAATGGGTGATAGTAAATTTATACTCCTTTGATCTCTAGTTAACTAATTTAAACAGATTAAGGATATTAATTAAATTAATTAATATAATATTTTTTTAAAATACCCTAATCATCCTTCTAAATTCTTTCCCTCTGTCTCTTATTTTATTATTATTGAAAATATATCAATAAAATAAATTTAAAAAAATAATAAAAATGTGAAATAAGTGTTTCAAAATTGCGGAGACAATGGATTTCGGCCAAACAATATGTCTGAGGGAGGGATGCCCCTGAAAGATGGGTCGCAATAGTCAGCAAGAATCGAATATGTGGGTTTTTTTTTTTTGGTTTTTGGCGAACAAATATCGAATATGGTTAAATCAGAATCTTTCAGAAAAAATCAGAATGAATTAATCTTTAAATCAGTGCGATTTTGTCTCGCTTAACCGATTTAACAACTGAAAAATTAATTTGATATCCTGATGGCTCAAATTATAAGAAGAGTGGAGTGAAATGCAAATAAAGGCGATTCAAATCTTATTAATGTAAAAAACATAACTTAATTATTTCAATAAAACCCAGTAATATTACATTTTAATTTATCTTTATTGTATAAACAAAATAAATTCTATATACCTCCAATAATAATATGCTAGTATTACTCATGGACCTATGGGTAAAAAAATAAATTAGAATTAAATTTAACTACTGTATATATTGGTTCTTATAATTATAAATTAGGCCGTCGAGATTGCATTGCTTTAGTTAAGATTAAAATTAGCGTCATTATACCCATCGTCCGTGGGTTCAACTGGTGAAGGGGTGAGACATATGACCAAGTTGGCATGTGTTAGATTCTTGAGGAGTACCACTTTGTTGTGGTTCCAATCACGGCGTCTGAGGGTAATTGACGGCTCACCCTGCTCAATATTGGTATGACCTAGGAGGAAAGGAGATTTCGCCCTGTCCTTGAATCGTGGGTGAGCGTTATTATTTGCACCCAAAAAAAATAGCGTTATTAGATTTCAGTCTGTGCCGCAGCACCAAATGATTTCTTCCTAGCGAAGGCTGTGTTCAAATGAAATAAATAAACGCTAATAATTAATACTCCCTCCATTCCTTATTATAAGAGACAAATAACTAAATTACGTTGATCAAAAAAACAGTTAAAATTAGTTGAGGACAATTAATGTGTAAAAAGTATGATGTTTTTTCCAATAATGCCCCCATTAATAAGGAGAGAGAATATGAGAGAGAACAAATAAATTATTAAAAGAAAGAGAAGTGAGAGGGAGAGAGAGTATGAGTTGGATACAAAATAAATAGGGGTAAAATAAAAAACTAATACAAAAAAATAGAGACAACTTTTAAGTGTTTCTTATATATGGGAACATACCATAAGCATCAAATATCTCTTATAATAAGGAACGGAAGGAGTAACAGAGAGAGACCTTTTTTCCCCCTTATAATAGCGAGATCATTATTTAGTTGGCCACTAAAATGATTGTTATTTTGATTTAATTAAATGATCTTTTAATTTTA